TCTCAAGGAAACCCAATATGACAGCCACAGGGAGGACATCATCCATGCCATCATCCCAGACACGCAGAGTGCGGCGCAAGTCACTACCTGGAGTCAGGCCAGCAGGTGGACTGATCCCATGGATGGGAAGCTAACTGCCGACTTGAAGGCAGCACTATCTACTGATCCATGGCTAACCGACAATTGAAACACTTTGACAACCTGTGATGGACTAGCTTGGAAATGTTCAAAAATTTACATCCCCAACAGCATGAGACTCCTGGTGCTCCAGCTAGGGCCGGATTTTCCTATAGGCTAACTAGGCTTCAGCCTAGGGCCTCAAGATGAAGAGGGGCCTACATTCAAATTGTTAGCAAAATTAAAATTACACTTTCACTATAGGTGAAAGGGCCTCATAAGTGGAATAGCCTAGGGCCTCTTTTCATCTAAATCCAGCCCTGGCTCCAGCGTAGCCATGATTCTCAATTGGCTGGTCACTTTGGATTTCTAAAGACCCTTCATCTGATTAGATTGCAGTTTTAGTGGCCAAAGATGAAAGCTGATGTGGAGGACTATGTAAAAAGTTGTGCCACATGTGCCAGCAATAAGACAAGACCGGGAAAGCCTCCCGGTTTGCTTCAACTGGTAGCTGAGCCCAGGCACTCTTGAGAAGAAATAGCTATGGACTTTACAGTAGAGCTCCCAGAAAGTGGTGGAAATACTGTAATATGGACTGTGATAGACCTGTTCTCCAAACAGGCCCATTTTATTCCTTGTTCTGGACTTCCCTCAACTAAGAGATTAGCCAAGATGTTTGTCAAACAGATCTACCAGCTGCATGGAGTTCCGCAACGGGTGATCTCCAATCGAGGAGTTCAGTTCACTGCTAAATTCTGGAGGGAGTTTCTGAGGTCCATCGGGTTACCTCAGGGACTTAGCTCAGCTTTCCATCCGAGTACGAACGGAGCCGCGGAACGTGCTAATGCCATGGTGGAACAGTATATCAGATGTTATGTAGATTACCAGCAAGATAATTGGGCTGACTTGCTTCCTTTCGTAGAAATGGCTTACAATAATGCGGTGCATAATAGTATGGGACTGACGCCTTTTCAGATTACGAGCAGCATGGAATTCGTCCCTATGCCAGAACTCTGAGAGAACAGCTTTCTTCCATGACTCTGAATGAATGGATGGAGTCATTAAAGAAAGGCTGGAAGAATACCAAAAAAGCCCTGAATGAGGCGGCCAAAGCATACAAAAAGCAAGCAGACAAACACCGATCTCTCCAACCCCCCTTTCAAATGGGAGATCACATGTATCTTTCCACCAAATACTTACATTTGAGGTTGAAGAGTGAGAAGTTAGGACTGAAATATTTAGGTCCCTTACCTATAATGAAAGTGATTAACCCAGTGACTGTACAGTTAAATCTTCCCCGCATACTGGGAAAAATTCATCCTGTTTTCCATTGTAACCTGTTAAAGCCTGCTGTGGGATCTAAATTGAGACCTCAACCTGCTGCTCCCCCAAAGCCAATTGTGGTGCAGGGTGAGACTCATTATGAGGTAAAGAAGATTTTGGACTCTAGATTGCAGAGGGGATGTTTGCAATATTTGGTTCATTGGAAGGGGTACCCCTTGTCTGAAGCCACATGGGTGAAGAGTTGGGATGTTCAGGCAGGCACCTTAATTAGACAATTTCATGATAAATTCCCTGATAAGCCTAAGGGTCCTCCGGGGGGGGGGTTAATTTGGGTTATTAATGTGGCTAATTGTGTTAACTCCTGATTTCAGTCTTGTCCCAGGATGCGTTCCTTTCCTGAGGGAGGGAAGCCTATCAGTTTTGGAAGACAATTTTCTTTTTGCTTTTAAATTGCCACATATTTTAGTTGGGGAAGTTGGGAGGGGGTTGTTGTTGGAGCGGTAGAAAGTTAGTCATAACAACATTCTGTATTCAAAGACTTTGCCTGCGTCTGATGGAGACTACCTGAAGATTGTATCCGGTGGAGTGTGAAGAGTTATTGGACAATGTGATGAACTTGTGGGTATGGGGCAGGGCTGTGAACTCTTAGCTGGGTGGGGGAAACCTGGAAGCTTTCAGATTTGGGTTTTCCCAGATGTGTCAACATGACATCTGTAACAAATTGGAACTTTGAGGAACCTCAGGCCTCAGAGCTTTATTTTGTTGGGGGTATTCCTTGGAACCCTGACATTCCACGCTACATTTCTCCTGCAGCGTCTTTGTAGTAAGAGGGGGGTTGATAGCAGGGCAGTTCAAAAGAACACACCGGCTAAGTTGGCCATCTAATTTCAGCCAGAAGAGCCCAATAAAGACTCTAGATAAGCAATAAGTCCATAAATTGGTTATAAATAAGACAGTATCCAAATTTGAAAAGAGCACCATGAAAGATAGCTGCAAAACAAGTGTAAACTAAGTTAGACATTGTAAAATAAAATTGTAATCACACAAATACTTACCAAGGATGAATTATTGCTATTTTCGAACTAATGATGTTTTCTGGTCAGAAGATCAGTTGCCCTCATGATGAATAATTTCACAGAGTCAGTGCAAATAGATATTCCCTTACAGCCTTCCTGTTTTAGATTTATAGCTGTATGATTTGTGTGCCATTAGTCATGTGGGCTGCTACCTTGCTCACTGGACCCAGTCTCAGTCCTGTTGAAATTGCTGTGAGCTGGGTAATCATTCATAAGACTGTACTATATATGAAGCAGTAAACTAACTATGATTAATCCCTCATTCACTTTGCATCTGCATAATAAAAAATAATAGTTTTTCCTTTTCCACTACCATGTTTCCCCGAAAATAAGACCCTGTCTTATATTTTTTTGAACCCCGAAATAAGCGTTTGGCCTTATTTTCAGGGAGGTCTTATTATTTTGGGGCGCGTGAAGCAAGACAAGACTCCTCTTGCCATCTTGCCTGATTTCCCGCTCTGTCTCCCTAACCCTAACCAGAGGAAATGGCGGGGACCAGCTGTGCATGCAGGGAGGACTTATTTTCAGGGAGGGCTTATTTTAGCACATGCACTCAAAAGCCTGATTGGGCTTATTATCAGGGGATGTCTTATTTTCGGGAAAACATGGTATTTTCTTCATAAATTAGCATTTCAATAAAAACAATTTCTTAATAATATATATTGATAATTACCAAACTGAATCATTTGTTAAAGAGTCTATTTTTCTTCCTTTTTCATCCAAATAAATGTCCACTTTAAGGTTTTCCTCTGTATCATGAGCTGAACCAAAATTTGACACACTTCTGCATGGAATCCCCAGACAGCGCATAACTGAGACAAAGAGAAAATTGTTAGCTCTCAGTTCATTAGCTGCTTTACTGTCTTTATTAACAATTTTGTTTATTTTCACATATAAAAAGTAATTAATAAATGCTTTCATAAAAAGGAAAAGCTTCTGCTTGGAGGAGTACATCTTACCTGTGGTAACCACTCCAGAGAAAACCCAACATTGACCATATAGGACACTTTTTTGTGTTCTGTAATATTGTTGCAAAATTGGGACACTTCCTGTCCAAGCCAAAGGAGCTGTACCACCAGTATAATGCCCTGTCCAGTTTGCATGCAGAATTCCTCGATCATCATCAGAATTAACCTAAGAAAGAGTTGATGAGAATAAAGCCTCCCATTCCTGGTTCTGTTAATAACATCATGAAATAACATCCTTCTTAAGGCTAGAATGCATGCTGCATTTTCAACCCTAATAGTACAAGACAGTCTTCATTTAAATAAATAGAGGATGTGCTGAAATTGTGAGGTGTATTTTTGAAACTTAAAGGCAAAAAGCTCAAAGCTTGCATTTCTAGTCATTTTTAGAATCATTAGATCTATGACTTCCATCCTTCCCCTGTCATATATAATACTGAAATGCTGTCAACCTGTCTTCACATTTCAGAAAAAGCTTTTATTATAAGCATTTTTACAGACAATTTCCCCTCCATTTGAAGGAGGGGAAATTGCTTAGATTAACAAAGTACATTTCAGAACAGGGTCTTACTGGTAGCAAACAATTGACTGCATAATGAACTAGAAGACCATTATGCTGTGGTCATGTTGCATGTACATAATATGCAGCATCTTGTGTGGAGAATAGATAGGAGAAAGAATGCATGGAGAGAGGAAAAACATTAGAGTACAGGTTTGGAAGAAAATATTCTTCAGGCTGTTGCTTATGTGAAAGAAAGTAAATACAACCATTATTTAGGGAATAGCATAGTGACAGGAAATCCAGAGTTACTTAAGTTCATTCAGAGCAAGGAGTCTTAATATGCTCTCCTCTATTATAGAGAGAGAACAAGGGCAGATCTGAACTTCCAGCTTTCTCTAGCACAACATAACCCACTCATCATTTCTGGAGGACAGGAATGCATGATGTCATTTTCAATCCACTTCCAGGAGGCAGGTAATATAAATTCCATTTGTGCTCTCTGGCCATATGTCAAAAGGAGTATTTTATGCATTGTGGAGGCTCAAGCTAGAATGTCTAGTTTTCATGCTGTACTTACTTCTTTGTAAACAACCTATAAATTCCTATTGACTAATAAAGTGGATGCTTGCTTTGTTCGGGTCACTATTTGCTATCTTCCACTATCACTTTATTAACAAGTTTTTAAAGAAACTTAACAAGAAAGGTGAAAAACTAGCTTTTTCTGATGAAACCATGCAGTGTGGACCTGTCTCCCCTTCCTCCTCCTATTTGAACCAGGTGAGATTCATGAGAATTCTGCCACTTTCCCCTTCAAGCTCAGCTAATAGGAAAAAAAACTAAAACTATATTTTCATTTCTTTATCTTTTTGAGTACCGTAAGTTTCTCTACTAGGAGAAATAGAAAAGCAAAGGAATTCAAGAAAGAGAGGTTCGGATCAAAGAATCCAGACCAAACATGAAGCCATCATGGTGGCCAAAGCAAAGAAAATTGTTGCTAGTTTGATTATTCTGGTTAGGCCCAAAGACTGTAGACTTTCTTGTGTCAATAATATTTATTTCTCATCTTCCTCAGGAATACTTTTGGACTGCAAGAAGTCTGACAGGAGTAAAGGCTTATATACAGAGGAGGCGGAGCAAATGGTAAGTAGTAACCAATGGCAAGGGACACAATGACATCACATAATGACATATATACAAGTACACATATTTATAGAGAGCAAGTTAGGTATTTTCAATTGTAACAAATCCCCCTCTAAAATACCTAACCAATGGTGGGTTATTAACATTATATATGTACATTAAGTTTAGAGGTCAAATATACATGTTGTTTGGTTGCTAATGGCTTAGTGAGGATGTCAGCGATTTGTTCATTAGTATCAATGAACAGCCTTAATGAACCCTATACTTGACAATTGCCTTACATGTTTATATTTGATATCGATATGTTGAGATCGTTGGCCTATTGCTTCGGAAGCTGATATATCTATTGCTGCTTTATTATCTTCATTGATAATAATTGGATAAATAGGTTCATCCCATACATTAGATAACAAATCATCGAACCAGGTTAGATTATTGACCGCTTTGGATAGACAAACGTACTCAGCTTCTGCTGTAGAAGTGGCAATTAAGTTTTGTTTGCCAGTGTACCAGTGCACCGTACAACCATTTATAAGAAAAACATATCCAGAGGTGCTTTTTCTGCTTTTTGAATCAGCAGCCCAGTCTGCATCGGCGTAGCAGGTCAACGTTGGTTTTTCAGAAGTGAATGGTTCTAAGTATAGACATACATTAATGCTAGATTTCAGATATCTCAAAATTCTCTTAATTCCTTCCCAATGGTATAAATTAGGATTGGTTACATGTCTTGACAACAAATTAACGGCAAGGGTGATATCAGGCCTCGTCCAATTAGATATGTATAATAAGGACCCAATAATTGATCGATATAAAGTGTTATCTTTGAATGGCTCGTGTTCATTGTGCACATTTCTATAAATATCAGTTGACATGGGAGTTTCACAAATTTTTGAGTTAACCATATTGCACTTTTGTATGAGTTCTATAATTTTATCTTTCTGAGACAATTTGAAACCCTTATCCGTTTTATCAATTTGGACTCCTAAATACTTGTTTACCTTTCCTAATATTTTTAAATTGAAATGTTTGCCCAATTGTTTAGCAAAATCATCACATTTAATCTTATCACGTCCAAAATATAATATGTCATCAACATAAATCAAAACATATTCAATAGAATCATTATTTCTTTTTGTGAAAAAACAAAAATCAGATGAAGTAGCTATAAAACCCATACCATTAAGTATCTTTGATAAACATTCATACCACCGCTTGCCAGACTGTTTTAGTCCATAAAGACTCTTATTCAATAGCCAAATTTCTCCCTTTTTTGTATCCTTTCCTGGGGGGGCTTTTACATAAATTTCTTTATCAAGATCAGCGTGTAGATAAGCTGTCTGTACATCAAATTGATATACTTCTAGATTTAAGATGGAAGCTAATACCAATGCTGTTTTCACACTTTCTGATCTAACGGTTGGAGAGTATGTGTCCTCATAGTCATCTGGAAATCTTTGGGCAAAGCCTTGAGCCACTAACCTGGCTTTATATAGGAATTTACCATCCTCTAACTCCTTGATTTTATAGATCCATTTAGTGCCAATGGGGGACTTCTCTGTGGGTAGATCTGTTGGTGAGTATACATTTAGTTCTTTCAAACTGTCCATCTCTTTTTTCATTGCTTCCTCCCACTTACTTTTTTCTTCTAGAGGTAACTTTAGTATGTCATCATATGTATTGGGAGTCAGGTGTTTAGCTTGGATAGACAGTACATAATCATCTAATCTTTTAGGGATTGTGCCTCTATTGGATCTAATGGGCCTATTCTGGGGATGTTCATCACTATGCATATATTTAGTTTCTTTTTCTGTTAATTGATCTACCTTCAGAGTGGGATGTCCTTTCTTCCATTCATCATTAATTACTTTTGGGTATTTGATTTTGCTCGTTGTTATACTTTTGGGGTTGGTATCTGATGTATAATGTTCTGTGTGTGTGTGTGTAGTGTTTTTTGATTCTGGATATATTTCGTTGAGATGTATTTTTGACCAGTTCATGTGTTCATGAAACACGGCAAATCTGGATACAAAGAAATGGTTATTTTTATCAATGAAGCGATATCCCTTGGTTCCTGATTCATACCCCATAAATATTAGTCTTTTGGATACTTTCTCTCCTTTGTGCCTTAATTGTGTGGGGACATATACATCAGCAGTTACACCAAATACGTGTAAATGTCCAATTTTTGGTTTTCTTCCATACATGAATTCATATGGAGTTTTGTTGATTGTACTTGACCATAAGCGGTTTATAGTGTAATTGGAATAAGTAAGGGCCTCAGCCCAGAATGATTGGCTCAAGCCAGCATCGTCTAACACACATTTAACCATGGTTTGTAGCAAACCATTTTTCCTTTCAGATACTCCATTTTGAAAAGGGGAGAAGGGACAAGATTTAAAGTGCAATATTCCTTGTGATTTTAGCCAATTTGAAAATTCGTTGGATAGGAATTCCAACCCCCTGTCGGTCATTATTTGTTTAATTTTAATATTGTGTTGTGTTTCTACCATTTTAAAGAACTCCTTGAATTTTTTGAAAACTTCACTTTTGTGGTTAAGGGTGTATACAAAACCGAATCTACTGTAGTCATCGACTATGGTTAGAAAGTATCTTTTTCTATATTTAATTGAAGGTTTCATTGGGCCTACTACATCCATATGGACTAATTGAAAAATTGATTGTGTGGTGAGAGTGGCTTTTTTGGGTCTAGGTTTATTTTTAAGTTTGGATGAATTGTACACTGAGCATTCCAAATAATTTTTACAGTTCTTTATTTTTAAATCTTTGGAACATTCTAACATCTTTCGTATGACAGGAAAACTTGCGTGTCCTAGTTTTCTGTGGAGTAGGTGGCTACAATTATCATGTACAGGTTTTCCATTGTGTAAATTTTCAGACATATTAGTATCAGTAGTTGATGCATTATTATCATTACCCTCATTATGACTATCTGACTTTGCCTCTTTGTTTTTCAATTGATAGTTTGCGTAGATTAATTCGTTACTTTGTCGTAGTAGATATGTTAGTCCGTCATTTGTGAATAGTTTACCTATGTTTCTGTTGTTTTTAGTCATAAATACCTTTCCACCTTTGAAAGTGGTTTCTACTTCATTTTCTATACTTAATTTTAGAGTTGTCAATATATTACTTGGAATTTCGGGTACAAATAGCACCCCCTCTATTTTTCCTATACCCTTTATATGCGTGTCTCCCATTCCTCTTACTAGGACTTCATTTTGGTTTGCTACTTTAATGTAATATTTCTTTTCAGTGAAGTTGCTTAATATTTTTCTATTGTGAGTTGTATGACATGTGGCCCCAGAATCGATGAGCCAAGTGTTGAGTGAATCAGATGTTAAAGTGTCACTGTTTCTTATTCCATATAGTGATCCTTTCTTAATTTCCCTAGGGTTATTTCTGTACATCTGTCTTTCTCTAGAATGTGGTGATTCCCTGCGTTTATATCTGTAGTCAGGGGAAGTTCTGTCTAAGAAATGTATTCTCCTATCTTTGTGTTGATATGTGTCACTGTATCCTGTGTTTTTGGGGTAGTCTCTTTTTTGATGTCTTTTAGATCCACATATTGAACATTCATGTGGGTATCTGTCTCTAACTCTAAAATCTGTCCTTTTTTGATTTCTACCTTCCCTTTGTTGTACATATCGCTCCTTTCTAAGTCTATCTTCAGTAATAAGTTTATTGGTAAGGTTTTCTAAGGTAATTTGTTCTATACTTAAGTTATCGATTAAGGTAATATAGTTATCCCAGCTGTGGTCTAATGAATTGATTATAATGCTTTTCATAGTGTTATCAGAAATAGTTTCCCCCCTTTGGATAAGATCTGCCCTGATCGCGTTCAGATTCAAGATATGTTCACTCATAGAGGTATCATGTTTTAGTTTGGTAGAATAGAATTCTCTAGAAATTTCTGTGGTGGTGGCTACACTTTTGCTATAGAACAAATTGAATAATTTTTGGTATGTTTCAAATACGGTTAGATTATGTTCAATACTAGGAAGTATACTTGGGGAAACAGAGGCAATTAATATATAATATGCTTTGTGATGGAGGCAGTCTATTTCATAAGTCCAAGGTTTGTCTGGTGGATTATCAATAAAAAATAAAACATTCTCTTTCAAATATGTAATCTGTAAACACTGGTTCCATTCCATTAAATTGCTCCCATCTAATCTTAATTTTATAAAGTCTGAAGATACTGTCCCTGAGTGTTGTGAAGTGTTATTTATGTTTAGGAGCTGTCCATGGTTTAAGACCTTAGCATACTCGCAATAAGGCCTGGGTATGGTAGATGCATGTCTGTATTTACTTATCTCTATGTTCTGGCTGGATCTGCGCTGACTTGTATCTATGTCTTCTTCTTTTTTCTTTGCAGGTTCGTTCTGCGCATGCTCAGTCCTCATTCTTCTCCAGCAGTCGACGAGGGAGGATCCTGTGTTTGCAGCTCCCGGGGTGAAGTCCCAGTCGGCCTTCTGTTCTTCGGCTTTGTTTCTGGAGGGCCTCTGGTGACTGAAGGATGCCTGGGATGCTGCCCTGCTCGTTGGGGAGTCTCCGAAGTCGCGACGATCGAGGAAGAAGCCACCGGAGGCTTGTCGGCCATTTTCTTCGAAGCAGTCAGGAGGTGGAGTTCGAGGCGGGCCGCCATTGTTGATGAAGCCGGGTTGCTCAGCAAGTCGTTCTTCGGTAGGTAAGTATGATTGCCAGTGCGTCTTTTTTCGGGTGGCTAGGTCTTTCTTTAGACAGTTTATTTCTTTTTGACTTTTGGTAGGTGATAGTTTAGAATTTTCTTTTTCATTTTCTGGTTGTTCGTTTGGTATTTTTAGTTTAGTCCCGAGTGCTGCAGTCAGCACCTGTATAGCGTTATCTATTTCTAGTTCAGTAGGTTGGGTTTTGTTTTGTTTAAATAGTTGTTTTTTATTTGTTTCTGAACTCGGGTAGTCATCTTCTTGGTAGGTTTTGTTGCCTACTTTGTAGTTTGAGGTTTGGGGTTCTTTTAGTAATTGGTCGGCCATTTTGGGAGTATTAGATGGGTTAGATGGCTGCCATGAAAAAGGCGGGAAGCTGTCGCTATCTTCGGTGTCGTTTTTAAAGTCAGGGGTTGAGTTTCTTACCTTGTATTTTTCTTGTTTGTTATTTTCGTTATCTGCTGCTGTTCCGTGGTCGTTTATCATGCTGCGGATTTTCACAAGCAGATTTGATTCAACTGTAGTTGTTTCTATTAATTCTAGTATTTTTCTTTTTACTTCATCTTCTTTGTTTGGGGTTGAGAAGAGTTCTTCTGCTCCAGCTAGTAGTTGTTTGTTTTGTGTTAGCAGTTCATTTTCTTGTAATTGCGTTTGTTTCTTCATGTTTTCAATTGGTGTATATTTATCAGGAGTCAGCTGAGCTGCCATTCTTTTTGTTATGTATCTGGTGGCAGGTCTTCTTTTGTCTTTTTGTGAGTCTTGCATCTTTATGTTTGGTTGGGCCTACCAAACCATCCTCTTGCTACAAATTTGTTGCTAGTTTGATTATTCTGGTTAGGCCCAATATAAAAGACTGTAGACTTTCTTGTGTCAATAATATTTATTTCTCATCTTCCTCAGGAACACTTTTGGACTGCAAGAAGTCTGACAGGAGTAAAGGCTTATATACAGAGGAGGCGGAGCAAATGGTAAGTAGTAACCAATGGCAAGGGACACAATGACATCACATAATGACATATATACAAGTACACATATTTACAGAGAGCAAGTTAGGTATTTTCAATTGTAACAAAAATCTAGAAAGAATTTGTTAGGCTTCATTTTCAATCAATTTACACACTGAAATTGAAGGTGGACAAGACCTAGAAAACTGAAATGACACAGGTTGAAAACAAAAGTCAGAGAGAGCTGACCTGTGAGATGAAGGAAGTGATTAAAGTGCTTAGAATAACCAAAGATGGCATATTATATAGAGGCAAGCATACTAAGTATTTTAGATAAGGAAAATGGGTAAAAATGCAAAAGCTTTATCTGTCATCTCTAGTAATCAATAGGCATATGTACATATAGATAGCCAGTGTAGGCAAAATTAAAGTCCAACAGTCTCTCTCTCTCTCTCTCTCTCTGTGTGTGTGTATGTGTGTGTAGTGACATATTTTATGTCACCAGAACATGTATTATTTTAAAGATATTTTTCCCCAATGGATTTTTGGAAACCATAATGTTCTCTTACAGGTTTTATATTTTCCCACTTCAAGTAAACACGCCACCAATTTTTGGCAATTGTGAGCACCAGAGACCATAAAACTGGTATGTTGAGGGTTACATGCAGATCAGGGGTGGGTTCTACTTACCTTTACTACCAGTTCGCATCGTGCCCACACGTGCGCTCTTCTGTGCATGCACAGATCACTTCTGATGATGTCCAGCTCAGTGGGCAGAGCCTCCTGCCAGTTTTACTACCGGTTCTATAGAACTGGTCTGAACTGGGGGCAACCCACCACTGATGCACATTCTTTGAACTTCAATTCTCTGCCCTAGCTAATAGGGCCATAGGGAAGTGAATCCCTGCAGCAAAATGCGGTAGATTGTAAGAATGATCACTTGATCTAACAATGTAATTTTAATAGCAGTTAACACTGATTGGGTAGATGCAGGGGCGACATTATAATATAAATTTAATTATATTTAAATAGTACTTTAAATTATTGTATTTTATCCCGATTTTATTTTAGATCGTATTTTATTCTAATTGTATTTTAATTGTGAGTTATTCCAATCTTACTTAATTTGTTTTACCAAACCTTTGTAATGATTTGTCTTTGTAATTCTGCACTTGATATGGCCCAAAGGGCTAATCAATAAATGAATAAAATTGATTGATTGAATTGAATCCAAGAGTTGTAGGCTAAAATATCTGTCAGGCATTAGATTTACACTTATAGGCTAAAGTTCAGGTTGATAGGAAGATTAGTTTTACTGATTTCTGTTTTGTGATTTACAATATACAGATTAGCATAAAGCATTTTTAATGACATACCAAAGCTGACATGACCCTGGAGATGATCACTGGATCCTTTTTAGCACTCGCCTTGAGTTGACTTTTGTCCAGAAGATAGATACAGCAATCCAAAATATCATCTTCAAACTATTTTGTAGTACAAGGCAAAATATGAGTAATGTTTTTCACTGCTGGAAAAATAATTCCTTTTTAAAAACATATTTATTTTCAAAAAGAATAAAATATAAAACAGAAAAACAAACATCCAACACTAACAATGAAAAAAAAGGCAAAGAATGATTATTTAACATTCTTCAATGCTGGGAAAATAGTTTCTTAATGCAATCAACAGCAACTTCATAAATTTCAAATGTGAAGTCTGCTCTGTAAAAAGTAGTTTGATATAATAATAATAATTTCACAATGAATAGTACTTAATGATAGAAATAGTCATCACTGTAGAAATCATCTTATGCAGACATATTCACAGTATGTTAAAAAAAGTCTTTCTTAATGCATTAAGCATCTATTATAGAGATAAATTTTCCTGTAAATCATACTTGAGATTTCCTATAAATCATAAGGTAAGGTAAAGGTTTCCCTCACACATATGTGCTAGTCGTTCCCAACTCTAAGGGGCGGTGCTCATCTCTGTTTCAAAGTCGAAGAGCAGTGCTGTCCGAAGACATCTCCGTGGTCATGTGACCAGCATGACTAAACGGCAAAGGTGCACAGAACACTGTTACCTTCCCACCAAAGGTGGTCCCTATTTTTCTACTTGCATTTTTTTATGTGCTTTCGAACTCCTAGGTTGACAGAAGTTGGGACAAGTAACAGGAGCTTACCCCATTACGCGGCACTAGGGATTCGAACCACTGAACTGCTGAACTTTTGATCAACAAGCTCAGCATCTTAGCCATTGAGCTACCGCGTCCCATGTATAAATCATACTTGACATTTAAAGACACCATAAACACATACATTTGTAATTTTATTAGCATTTTAACAATTGTGTGCAGACCAAGTAGCTTTTGTGGGAAACACTTATGACAACAGAGAAGTGCAATGGTATTTAAGAAATGTTTCATGAGAGTGAGAAAGAAAACAGCTTTTTTTCTCCACTTCCTGTTTCCTACTCCATTTTAATGTATATTCTTGACCAGAATTTCAACATTTCTTGGTCATTGTTTTTCTAGTCACTTAGGTAGAAGGATTTTATGCCCTGAACTTTCTTTATCAAGTTACTGAAAAAGTGAGAAAATGGAGTGATTTGAGAGAAACCAAAACAGGTGTCAGCCTCTCAAAATGGGAACCAGGTGAGGAAATAGATACCACAAGGATTTCAGGTATACATATTATGCTATTTTTTCTTCCTTAGTGCTTTTGCATTCCTTAAAAGTTATTTCACATTCTTCTACATGGGGAAACAAACATTCTTTCTTACCTGCCCAAAATTCCATGGCCTTTCACGAATATTTGCTACTGATCCTACATAAATGTAACCAGTATCATTGAGGATGTACTCCACTCTTTTATCATCATCCGGCATAAAAACAGAATCCGCTAAAATAGACATGTAAGCAGATTTAGGAGGTCAAGACCTGATGCAATGAAATATCCACAGGACCATCAACAATGGGATGGAGAAGGAGGTTAATTTATTTTCTTCACAGTTTTGAATCTGTTCAGGGTAATACCTTGAATCTCTTTGGCTGAGAAACTGCATACTTAGGGTTGGACACTAAAAACAATGACCGTTAGTCTCCAAAATAATATGAATATTCAGATAAGCAGACTGATAGATTTCAGTTCAGAGCCTTTCTTATTAATATGTTCTAGGTTTTCTTATTCCAGCTACAGTTACCCAAGAATTATCTCTCATTACAGAAGATTCAATATTCAATTAAGGTTTTCCTTGACTAAATCTCTACTTGTTTAACGGATAAAATTTGTCTCTCTGGAGTTCATTGTATCCATATTGTATAAGAACAGCCCTCCTGAATCAGACGAATCATCTGTTTCCCACAGTGGCCTCCCAACCCCTGTTTGAACAGCAGGAAGGCCTCAGCCCAATTTTGGTTGGTGCACTAGTACCCCTCTACTTGGGGCAGGAAAATCTTAACTGCAATGGCTCATGCCTGTAACACTATCTGTTTGTTATTACTAATGTACTAAACTTCCAACTGTTTTTAATAACAACTTGGGAGCTGCACAATGATCCACAACATACTTCAGAGAAGTCAGGGACATGGATGAGGGTGAGACAGGAGGCCCTGGTTTTTTATTGCAGCTACTATCCTTTGGAACAGCCTCCTGGTTAAAAGGAAATTGACTGACTGGCTTTTGCAAAGTGTTTATAGAAGATCTCTTTAATAGTGTTACAAGACTCTAATTGTTGTTTTATTATTGCTTTTCTACTGGTTTTTTTTAGTGGATGTTTTAATTGTATACTATATGTCTATAACTGTGAACCACTGGAAATCCTCAACGGAATTACAACTGGATATGAT